ATATATCTATATATATATATATATATATATATATATATATATATATATATATATATATAGTCAGGGGTCACCACAGTGTAATGAATTTTAATAATTACTATTTTTTATCATTTTCTCACATATTTTTTTATTTAACTGTAAATGCTTTGTCTGTTCTCCTAAATAAATAAATAATCAATCAATCAATCAATCAATCAATCAATCAATCAATCAATCAATCAATCAATCAATCAATCAATCAATAAACAAACAAACATAAATAAATAAAAAATAAACCAACAAATGAACAAACATAAATAAATAAACAAATGAACGAATAAATAAATAAATAAATAAATAAATAAATAAATAAATAAATAAATAAATAAATAAATAAATAAATGAATAAATAAATAAATAAATAAATAAATAAATCTCCTCCTGTTGAAATATGCAATGGCTCTGATTTTCAGCTGCATCAGTGTGCTTTAATTTACTCTGGTTTTGCAGGTTGGGGTCACAAACAGAGGTAGGGTTTTTGTAAATTTTAGGGTTTATAATGTCACAAATTCTACCACCTGTTGTTGGGGTCTTTAAAACTGAATAACAAACAAATAAATAAACAAATAAATAAATACATTTTCCTTTGCATTGAATCTTGAGCATTATAACTTTGCAGAAGTTGTTTATGCTTAAACAGCAACATTGCAATTATAGTAAGCTCAAAATCACAATAAATTATTTGAAAAAAAAAATGGGTTGTTTTAATTTCGTTTTTACTGTAAATCTCTAATATGTGCAACCTTTTAGCAAGGTCTCTTATTAATCAGAAAACAAGGCTTCATGTATAATTATTCACCATAATGGGAATAAATGCCTACTTATTTTTCTTTTAAACATTTTTTCATAATATATAATTAAACACACAGACACACACACACTGAACACAACAATTTCTACCAAACTGGCAAGTTAAATAAACGTAAACATGCACATTTTGGGAGACTCTGTTGCTCAATTGAATTGAGGCAACAAGTTTACTCAATTAATTTTGTTCAGTCAGCTTATTAGGGTTTTCAGTGCAGAATTGCACATTTATATCATGTAATTGACAGAAAAAAGTCAGAATTCTAAAATAAAGTGTCGCAATTACGAGTTATGATGTCAAACTTCTGAGTTTTAAAGGAGTTTACTGTTTTAGAGACTTTTAGAGATCTTAAATACTGTGTCAAAGACTCTTTTCTTGAGTTGTGTGCTCTGCACACGATTGTGACTCACAGCTCTGAGAAATAAAGTCACAATAACCCTTTTTTATTATTATTCAGAGGCGGGAACAGGCTTCCATACATTTCCTCAATTTAGAAGAGTCTGACCTTTTTACTTTTCTTTCCTTTGCCTTTCTTCTTTTTGGACACTTCTGCATCCTCATCATCACTTTCATCAGATTTAGCAGTATCTACACGTGAAATAATAATACAATTGATTATATGGATAACCATATGCTATAATATGCTAAATTAACTTTTATTAATGTTGCAAACAAAGACTGGGAAGTTTGGACTTACTCTTCTTCTTGTTTTGCTTCTCCTTGTCTTTGCTGCTCTTGTCTTTTTTCTTGTCTTTGTCTCCTTCGGCGTTAAACATGGAGGTGGAGGTGGTGGATTTCTTTTTGCTCTTGCTGGGTTTAGTTTCTGGTTCACTCTCCTCGCTGTCGGACTTGGTGGCTGCAGCTGATATTTACAAAATCAACAACTTGAATTTCTTGATATTATTAAAAACACCATCATCAAAATACTCGCAATTAATAGATTTTTACATTTTAATGATGCCTGGTCATATTTAATCCCAAAATAAATAAAGAAAAAAAATAGATGAAATGTATAGCATACTCATACTGTATATTGCAATTATTTTGCAGCTGTAGTTTCATTTTAACATTGTTTTATTGGTCACACTTTAAAATAATGATCCAATAGTTAATGTATTTACTAACATAATAGTAATGCATTTATAGGGTGTTAATTCATATTTAAACATTTGCAGTCATGACTTTGTTTGTTAAATAATGTTTTACAGTGTAGGCTGCAGTGCACTCTCAGAAATAAAGGTACATGAGCTGTCACCGGGGTGGTACCTTTTCAAAAGGTGCACATTTGTACTTAACCACTTAAACTCTGCTGCTATTTGGGGATTTCCGCCTGGGTTTTGCCTACCTAAATTTAAAAGCTTCCCAAATCCATATGCAGAGGTGTAAATGCAAAAAATTGGTATCATTTTAAAGAAAGCCCTTTGAATTTTCATAAAACACTATTGAAAGTGTTTAGAATAACTGTATATGTTGTCTGTGTTATAATAAACACCTAAAAAAAGAGGCGCTTTTTGTATTTTTTTGTATAAACTCAAATTTGAAAGTGTGCCTTTTAGGTTCTGTGTGGTCTAGGGTGCTGTAATTAATTTTGGTTGTTCCTGCACATGTCTGTAATCATAGGAAAAAAGAAAAAGGTCTCTACCATAATCTATGCAAAAGTTATTGCATTCCAACCAAGCGGCAACCTCCCGCTCTCCCTCAGGAAGCCAATACGGAAGTAACTAAAACTGCAATTCATCCGAAATTCCGCTAGTCCTGGCCGCTCCTGGCTCCAAAACAGAGCAAATTTCAATTGAGCCCACTGTTAGAATGGCCAACTTTACAGCAGAAAAAAGGGTGTTTACAGCCTTGCACAAAAAAAGATTTTGGTTAATACAGCTAATATTACCCTTCATGACAACTGTGAGGGGGGTGAATTTTTTTATAACTCATCCATTTCCTTTATATTAAGTTATATTAAGTTTGCATAATTAACGGCGTGGCCAATTGATTGACAGCTAGGTCTCGTTGGTCGCCGTCACGTCACCTCAGCTGAATCCCGCAGATTAGCCACTGAACTCGGGATATTTATCGTATTTCTGTGTTGTTTTATGTGGCTTTACACAGTCAACTGCCTTTTGGACTTGTTTCCTACAATTATTAGATGGCATGGCATGCTGAGGGCACTTAATTGTGCTCACAAACCATTCACGTGGCCTCCGTTTCCCATGTGAGTAAAGTTATATACTTAAATACCATCTCTATACATGTATTTGTTTTATTTAACATCATTTATCGTTTATATTTATATTAAGAGCTGTAATGCACTCCAGAATCTGATGATTTGATTAGCTGTAGGCTCTAGAACAGTCATCTGAAGCGTTGTCATACAGTGTTATGCTGGATTTCATCAATAGTCTTACATTTACTAACACAGACTATATCTGAAGTGTTTGGAAGTAATTCGCGTTTTCCTCCTGTTGAAAAACGTCATAAGAACAATGTTTAGTGGCTCTGTGTATTACAGCAGTGTTTTTAAATATCTAAACACTTTATTGATATAGTGTACAGCCAAGCACAAGTGGTCAGAATACAAACGAGTCACAAGTGATAAAGTATTAAGCGTTTCTCCTAAAGTAAAGTGTGTCTGAACCAGGTCCAAGCTAAATACCAGCAGGTGTCTGTAGCTCCGCTCACTCTCCGCCTCTTTGCCCTTGTTTGGTATCCCGACGTCGGTGTGATGACGCGCGAACAAAATGGCGACGGTTGGCCGCGCCTACTTGTGGCTTCTTTTGCGCTCTTTAGAAACATATGGGTGACATCACAGATACTACGTCCATATATTTTACAGTCTATGATGAGGTGCTGTACAAGCCACAGAGACCGATCCTTGTTTAAATATTTCACTATTCTTTTGTTTGATCAAACATAAATCACTGTGTTTGGACCACATCAGACATATAAAAGGATTACTTATGCACATCACCTCAAAAACAGAGGAGAATGGCCCTGAAGGGCACAGCATAAGGTAAGAGATGACAGCTGTCTGAGCTATCTGGGGCTGCTTATTGATCATAAATGTATTGTTTTCATTTCTGCGCCATGGAAACACCACAGTTCATTCAACAACTGTTTGGCATATGAGTATAATTCAGTAAAAAGAATGCTAGAACTGTATGAGCACTGGCAAGAGCTTTCATTTGAGCTATAACTTGTACATGTGTCATATAAAAAAATATGAAAATGAACCAATGTAAAATACCTAGCTCGGGTATCCAAAATACTGTGTATTTAAGCGTAAATAACTTTTATACAGTAGGATAAAAACCAAAGTGATGCATATGTGCATAAAATATAGATTCTACACTTTCAAACGACACCACTTACGGGGGTCTGGTGCAACGCTAGCCCTTTAAATCTGAAAGCGAAAGTCGATGATGTCACGGTACCAGGTCCACAGAGTTTAAGTGGTTCAAAAGTACCTCAAAAGTATATATTAGTACCATATTAGTACCTAAAAACATTTAAGAGGAACGCTTTTGTGCTTTTTATGTCTTAATATGTATCCTTGAGGTAATAATATGGACCTTTTAGATACAAATGTTAACCTTTTCTCAAGGTACCACCCCAGAGACAGATCGTGTACCTTTAATTCTGAGAGTGTGTATGCAATTCACAAGCTACGGTATTAAAGAAAAGTCAAATTACCTTTCATTTTTGCAATAAAATCTGGTTTGTCTCCATTTATCTGAAACATTGAAGCTGGCTCCTTTTTAGCCTTGGCTGTTTTTCCTTTACCTTCTGATTCTGCTTTATTCTCTGCAGAGATAATGGGAGGGATTCACAATGAGAAAACGGTTAATAATTGACATATTTAGAATAAATATCTGAGTTATTTTATTTTTTAGTTTATCACTCTGGTGATTTAGTAGAAGTTAATGAACTGAAGTCAATGTAGAGTTCGTTCACAGGGTAATTTAGCTGAGTGTCCTTATGTGACAGTCAAGTCAGGACCAGTTTCCAGAATGCCCTGGGGTTATTCAGGTGTGCCAAATACACATAATCAGCAGAGCTTATAGTTAAAGAGCAGTGCATTGGTAAAGTCTAAAAGAGATAGTGGATACTTGGGTATGTGCATGTCAATATAGCATAATTTTTGGCACACTGTACAACAATAATTACCATTTTTACATTATTTTGAGGGGTAGGTTTAGGTTTGGGGCAGTGGTTGATATTAATAAAACACAATGTAATAGGATCTTTGCCCTCGTGTCTGCAGTGTAAACAGGTAGATCCAGCCTGATCTCATGAGAAAACGTAAAAATTGTATGTTTTTTTTCAGTTTAGTGGCTAGTTTGTCAACCCAAGCTCATTCTGGAAACGTTGTCCGGGGAAGATCGGTTCCAGCAATCAGGTAAGACAAAAACATAATCCCAAAAATTAAGTGAACGAGTTTCATAACAGGGTAAGAACGTGGTGAAATCCGAAAACGCGGTAGAAAAAAAAAATCAGGGATTTTCTTTTTTTTTGGACGGCTTTTGTAAACTGTTGCTCGGGTTTAGGGAAACGAGCAGGCGGGCGGGTCAATCGGTAAAATTGGTTGGGGTCAGGGAAGGAGGAGGGCGGGTCAGCCGATTGTCCGGTCGCGCAGTCAATCATCCGGTCAGTCGGACAGCGATCTCTGGTGGGTGCAGGCGCGAACTGGGCTCGCGAGAGGCGTTTGAGATGCGAAAAAGTTCACAACAGCGGCCTCTTATGGATTCGCAAAAACTGCAACCGTACGTACCTCCCGTGACGTATTCCACGGTCTCCAGAAACATCCGCGGGACTACGTTTCCAGAATGAACCTGGGTTGTAATTTGTATGAGTTTGTACGAGTTTAGTCGTACAAAATTGTACGATTTTAAATAGAAGACGTCACCCCTAAACCCAACCGTCATTGGGGGATGAGCAAATCGTACTAAATTGTACAAATTAGATCGTACAAATTCATACGTATTAGCCACTAAATTAAAAAGTTCAAATTGCTGTGAGATTGTGTTGGTAGATCGGATTTTTAACTGTCAATGAGTCGTAAAACCAAAGCAAATGACCATGCAAAAACCCTGCGAACAGATTAAATACAGAAATGGAGTGAAAAGCGCTAGTGTATTTTTAGCAGTTAGTCAGCGCCTGCTCTTTTTTTCTTGCTCATTGCGCCATTGCTGTGTAAATGCAGACTATCAGATACGAGTCACTTTTAAAAGATGATGTAAGCGGGTCATCAAAAAAATCGGATGCAGTCACAAAATCGGAATTGACCATCAAGATCTGCAGTGTAAATGCAGCCCTAACGTCACAACTTTAATCTAACCTATTATTAATGTCTTTTGACTTGTGTGTCTGATGGGCAATAATAAAATGCAGTACAGAATGTAACGTTTACACACATCCACAAATTACATGTAAATGCATCAGCTTTTTTCCAGGGTAATACTCACTACTACTTTTAAAAGCTTTACTTTTTGCTCATTCTTTGAGTAATAGTTACAACAGATACTTTAACTCTATTTGCACTACATTTTTTGTGAAAAGTAATGGTACTTTTACTTCAGATTAAATTTTTAGTAGTCTTTCCACCACCACTTAATGAACAAGTAGCTCAAACTCGCTCATTCAGAGGTGGGAATCGGCAGACGTACAACAAATTTAATCATAAGGTAAACATAAAGCTCTTTCACAGGACTGGACACTTGTAAACTCTTGCTCTATTAGGCTTCCAGCTCTCAGCACCGCCCACACTTGTCACCGCTACTAAGCCGACCAATCCCAAACCTTGTGGTACGTGTCAGTACAACGTGTAGTCACATTTTTTAAGAGGTGCACGTCAGCGTCAGCCATGGCGAGGGCTATGAGATCACACGAAAGCAGTGCATACAGGTGTGTATGTGTGAAAGGGTCTATTGTCTTAACAAATCTGTTAAAATCATTAAAAAAAAAGTACTCGAGGGTTTCGTGAACCTTTGAACAGAAATTGGGGGAAAAGGGTCGCTAATAATTCAGTAGGGCTAATAATTTTGATTTCAACTGCATATATACAGTTATTTTCCTTTCTGCAAAGTGAAATATATGCAAGAGAATAAAAATATGAAACAAACTGTGAGCATTTTTAAGCATCTTCACAGTCAGAAAAAAAACACTTTAGCTACAAAAGTCCTTCAGTCAAGAGCAGTGAGGGATTTTCTCCTTTTGTTGTTTGGTTAATAATGATAAAAACAGGCGGCAGCAGGAATATTGTGCGCTGTAACTTTAATGTTTTCTATTTCGCATGTCTTATGATTTTCAGCTTGTTTGTTTATTACACAAATGAGGATTAATATGAATAATTACTAAATGCGTTTTGACACCTATTTGACCATTAAAGCACTCACATTAAGATGACTTTAGATGTGTGTGCTCTGCTTGTCGCTGAGACTTAGCGCACAGTGTGAGAGGCGTCTGGCTGCAGACTCGGTGCAGTGCAATCTGAGCTGCATCCAATGCTTTATAATGTGCTCACCTAACCCCACCCCTAACCCTTCCCGTCACAGTAACGTCTCTCACTACATTGAGTGCATTGTATTTGACATTGCATCGCTGAATGATGCAATCTCAGCTTGCATCATCAAGGCTGCATCCAGATACTATTGCACAGTGTGTGAATGAGACCGAATGCTGACCGCATGTTGCGTGTGTGCGTCGGCGGCTGTTTCGGTCTCAGGCGCGTTTTGCTCCCACACCCAAATGTACCGTGCCAAAGCGCAAGACTCCGATTCAGAGCACTCACACTTCTCAAATGATCCGGGAAACCGGTCTGGGCACGGTTCGGATAGCATAGTGTGAGTAGGCCCTTATGCTGCGTTTACACCTGATGCGGAACGTGCGTCAAGCGCGAGTGATTTACATGTTAAGTCAATGCAAACGTGAAAATAGACATACTGCGGCGCGATACGCGCGAATGATGAGATTTGCGCAAATGGCTCAGTGCGCATGGTGCTATACGTGCGAATGGCGTGGCGCAAATTGAGCGTTTGATGCGCGAATCACTCGAGTTCGAAAAATCTGAACTTCAGCGGACATTCGCGCCGCGTTAACCAATCAGGAGCTTGCTCTTGGGGGGGCGTGATTGTGACGTATCGCCTGTTGTCGGTGTCCCAGGCGAAATCCCCCAGCAGACACCGACATGAAGTTCATCAAACTGGGCTGGGCTCAATCAGAAGCACCGCTGAAAACCTCCATCAGCCAGGTTCAGTTTCTGGAGGAGATAATGAGCTTAAAGAGCTGGATGCACCTCTGAAAGGATGTAGTGGACTCAGACACGGCCCTAAACGTATCAACGCTGTTTATCATCCTTCATAAAGTACACGAACACTGTTATTTTCTTCATAAAATCCATGTTAGCCCTTTAGCTATGAAGCTAGAGTCACGGGGCAGACAGAAGCCCTGCCCATCACACGAATCCGTGTCTGTTCTGAAGTGAATTTGACACGCGAATGAAGCGGGGTTTGACGCGCGAATAAAGCGAGTAACCTCAAATGTTCACGCAGCTATTTACGCGCGAATAGCGCGATTTATTCGCGCGTTCCGCGTCTGGTGTGAACACAGCATTAGTCATTGTCATGTGAAACTGAGCTTTGCAGAGCAACAAATGTTTACAACTGGAAAGGGGGGGGGGGTATATGATGCAAAATCATTTTATCTCGAATAATGGTTATTCATAATCGTTGGAAGCCAAAATCGAAATCGAATTTTCGATTAATTGCACAGCCCCAAGTTGAAAGTTCAATTCAATTTAGCTTTATTTGTATAGCGCTTTTACAATGTAGATTGTGTCAAAGCAGCTTCACATAAATGTAGTAAGTAAATTTTAACTTTATACAGTATAGGTCAAAGCAGGGCCATGCCATTGCAGATCGACTGTTGAATGCTAATTAGCAGCCGGACTTTGTTTTCCATTTGTTAAAGTCATTTCTCCACTTTATCTGAGGGCCTTGATCAGACTCCCCCCCCCCCAGAGGAGCTCACCATCTGTCTTTTAAAAGCAGTGAAAATGAGGCTCAAGCGAGCCAACGAATCCCTCACAGCATAACTAAAACAAGAGTTAATTTCACTTGAAGGTCCCCGACTTCAGCTCTCAGATAAACAGGAGGGTGATCTCTAAAACTGCTCTGCTTTATTGTTCAGGCTAATCTTCTTAGCTCACGAGATCGAGCGCTAATCCTCTTCCTGAGCAGCAAACCCCCATGCGTGTGTACATAACCACTTTAAGAGTTACACACACTGAAGCCATTGTCTAACCGTTTCCTCCCTACCTAAAGTGTTTTGCTCCGAGGGGAGAAAACCAAACACCTAAAATCTGTTTTAAGGGACCAAAATGGTGTCTGTTC